TCACTTTTAAAAACCCCACCAGTCTAGTCTGTTGCTGTTGTTACTTGCATATTTATTTATTTAAAATATTTTTAACTGTGCCTTTTCCCTTAAAAATAAACCAAGGTGGCTTACATCCTTAGAAAACAGTATTTAAAGCTAAAAACAGAAAGTATACAAATCCTAAGGATAAAAAAACCCACACCAAGTGGTAAACAAAGCCAACAAATAAATAACAACAAATAAATAACAATCACAGGCAGTAAAGAACAGTGATGTTTTAAAAAATCAGTTCATGTGTTAGTTTGATGAATATAACCATATTGATGACCCAGCTTTTCAATAAGGTTGTGGAAAACATGACCCTCCAGATGTTTTTTGAGCTACAGTTCCCATCAATGCTGATGGCTGCAATGGTTAGGTCTGATGAGATTTGTCATCCACCTCTATTTTATTTGATGCCACAGGCCATGTTGTCTCTTGCATTTTGTTCTGCAAAATGCTTAAAAATATTAAAAATATTTTAAATATAAAATGAAATACAGTACTGCAAAGGTATGTACTTGTTCAGAACTTTGGGATTGGGTGCAAACAGCTGGTGACAATTTTATATTGCATTCATTCAATTCTATGTTATAGTTATATCTTGCCTTTCTTTCACTTAGATCAAGGCTGAGCGTGCAGCGTCTCCTCACAACAGCCCTCTGGGGTAGGTCAGGCTGAGAGATTGTGCTTCTCAGGGAAACAGTCTTCAGATTAGATCACCTTCCTGTGCCAGTAATGGATTGCATGAAGGAGAACAAATTGAAGTGTAATCAGATAAGACAGAACCACTGTTGGTCAATAAGGTACAGATAAGAGAATTGGGACGTATGCTGAATGCACTTATATTCCCCTTGCAGACTGAAATTCACAATAGGTTATGTCTGCTGGAATCAACCTTGAATTCGTGCCCAGCTTTCAGCAGTGGCCAGGACTGTGGTTGCACAGTTCAGAATCATACACTGATTTCACTCATTCCTTGAGATGTTCTTTCTCACCATAGTAATACAGGCTAAGGTCACTGTTCTCTTTGGATGACTACAAACATGGTTTCCATGAGGCTGCTTTGAAAACTGAAGCCTTCAGATGATCCAAAATGCTCTTACCAGACTCTTAACCGGGAGCACATGCCTCCTTTGGCCAGATAGGTTTAATGGCCATCAGTCTGTTGTTTCTGGACACAGTTCAAAATGCTGGTTATAACCTGTAAAAACCATATACAGACCTAGGCTTTTTTTATTTTTAGCTGCTTACTGCTTAACTGTGTTCACTTACTCAGATTTATTCTGTTCCCTTTTTAAAAATTAAATTATATCCCACCTTTCTACCAGCCAATTCAAGGCAGTGAACATGTCTTTTCTCTTTGCTACCTCCAGCTCTGGTCTGGCCTCTCCAACTAGCCCAGATTAAATCTGACAATATTGTATCATCTGATGAAACCCATGACTTTTTCTGTGGTACTTTTTCTTCCTGCACTAGTCCCTAAAACAACATGCAGACAACAAGCATTCACGTCTAGCCTTGATTTGCTCCTCCTCCTTCACTTGCTTTTTACAGACAGATGAAGAGATAGTTTTCTTATGTACTTTTCTCTGGGTTTCCCCCACCCTGACTTTTGCTTGGCCTAATAAAAATACCACCTCAGTAATCCAAATAATAACTCCCCAAATTCTGCTTTAAAATGTGATCAGGTAGGTACAAAAGAACAAGCTGTCTTCAACAAGGCCAGACTTTGGACACTCCCCACTTGCACCATTAGCTCTCATTGCTGTATGTTCTCATGGTCCTTTTATTATTATTGCATTTTTATGCTGGATTTTTATTGTGAATTGTCTCGAGGTTTTTTTTGAGAGGTGATCTGTAAACGTTAAAAGGAACAGCCGTATATGCTTTTAAATTCACCAGCGCAGCTAATTACCCGATTAGGTTTTCCTTTTAGTAAAGTTTTCACTTTCTGTTTCTGGAGATTGTTTTTTAAAATTAGGTTTAAGGAGATTACACAATGGAATGTATAACCTAATATTTTTTTTAAAAGGGGATGAATAGCAATCTTGTTTCTCTGCCTCTGTTAGTGGGAACTGGATACCACTGTGTTGTTGCTGGGTTGTTTTTTTTCATCCCAAATCTGGATTTGCAAGACTATCTTGTAAAGACTACATAGTTGCCAGGATCCAAATTTCCTGGTTGTTCAAGCTGTCACTCTCAAAGACACATTTATAATGTGTACTTCCAATAAACCTCAGAGATTCCAACCCAGGTGGGTAGCTTGCATCCAAGCTATTTAAAACACCATTTTTCCCATTATGTATTTCTGTTGTTTTTAATATTGGTTTTATCTACTAGCTTTTAGTATTTGTTTAATTCTTTTATTTAATATTGTAATAATTTATTATTTTTAGCTTTTAATACTGTTTAATTTTTTTATCCTGGAAACCTTTTTTTTTTTTTTTGAAAGGCAGGGTATGTGCAAATAAATAAAAAGTTATTTGGGTCTAGCAGACATGATTCCTCCTTTGGGGTGCTCATTTACTAAAATTGCCAGGGTAGTCATGCTAGTCTGTTGCAGCCTAGTGATGTCATAAAGAATGATAAGTTTTATTTGGCATTAGTTTTTGCAGATTGCTTGTTACCTCAGTGGGCACCTAATTGCTTCCCCATGGGTGCGGGATGTGAGGGATTGAAATCCCATGGTGGATACCAACATCGATCACTGGTTTATCAAAATAAATAATTTAAATAAATAAATAAATAATCAGGCATTGTTCTTTGTCAGTGTCAATTATATCCTAGCATAGATAAACAGATTACCACTTGCTTGTAATGAAAGCCTTTTGCTCTATCTAAATTAGAAGAGATTGACCTGTAGGTGAATTCTAGCAAATGGAGGAACTCTAATCTGTAGGACCAAAGATATATATATATACAGACAGTGAAAACTAGATAATCAGTTGTTAACAGGTTGTAGCTGGGCGGTGATACAGAAAATCTTCATATTTCTGTTATAAGATATGTGGCTGAATAAGAAATGTTTCGGATACATTGGAATGAATGAGGAGCAGAATCTCAACATGCTAATGGCCCGATTTAACAGAACAGCCTTTAAAAAAATCACAAGGAGAACTCAATAAATGCAAATCCGATGTCTAGAAGAGAGCCAAAGTCTGGGCAAAGCAGCCCGAAGTGTTTAGCAGGAAAGGGAGGCTCAGACAGGAACACAAAACTGAAACAATTGGCAATTAAAGACTCCCCGTATCCGTTTTCTTTTTCCTTATGCAGGGCTGCCAGGAGTCTGGACCTAGCAAGAGTTTGTCCCTGAAAACCACTCAGGTGAAGCTGCAAAACCAAAGCAAAATGGGAAGTGAACACTGACAGGTATATGTGGAATGTTTCATTATCACAAATCCAGAGGCTTGTATAATCTTCTCAAGCTTTGCTGGCAGTAAGTGGGACAAGCTTTTAACATCCTTATTTTTCCTCATTAACTTTCCACACATCTCAGATGTCATCTTGTGAGCTCCACCTTTTCCATTTTGCATGTGAAGACTGTCAGCTGCCTGCTGTGTATCCATTTCTTCAGTCCAAGCCCTGTCCTCCACCAATTTAAAAGCCAAGGCACAATGATTCTTTTTTTGTTAAAGTGATACTACAGCAACATAATTGGCCTGCAATATGCTATCAACAGCTCAGAACGTATCTTAGCAGCTGCAATGTGCATGCAATGGCAGTCTGAGGACTACGGAGTGCTTTAGTGTATTTCTGCTCATTTCTGAAAGCTTTGCTTTTTGTCCCTTAAGTTTAAGAACATATTCTACCAGGCCCGTTGGTCAAACCAGTTTTTTTTCCAACTTTGCATCCTTCACAGTTCCCATCATTTTATTTAATTTCTGTCCCACTTTCTCCACTGAGCTCAATGCCAATAGCCTAACCCTCTTCCTCCCCAGTTTATCTGCACAACAACTCTGTGAAATAAGTCACGCTGTGGGATCATGACTCCTCAAAGGGCACCTGGTGAGCTTTGTGGCCGAGTGGGGATTTGAGCCTAAATCTCCTGAGTCCTAGTCCAACACTCTAATCCCTAGACCACACTTGCTTCCATTATCAGTTGCTGCAATGAATGTATATGATGGGGCTGTACTCTAACATCCGAAAGGTATCAGGTTAGAAAGGCTGGTCTACACTCACTATGAACTCCAAGGATTCAGATAGCGGTTGTTTCCCCACAGCCCATTGGTGGCCAAAATGCACCCCTCCTGCTCCTTTTGGAGTGCAGTTCCCAGCAGGCATAGTCAGCATAACCAATGGTGAGAAATGATGAGATTTGTAGTCTGACAACATCTAGAGGACTGTCCTTTAGCTGCTGTCCTTAATCCTATTTGTAAATAATAATAATAATAATAATAATAATAATGTATTGTCATTGTAAGTATATACACATACAACGAAATTCACAGACACCCAGAGACCAGACACATGCACACACATAAAATTCCCCAAACACTCCCCACCCACTAAATGTCCCCCACTAAAAATACAAACATCTACACCGCAGGCCAAGTAACACAGTCCAACTAATTATTCACTACTGGTGGTCTTTAAGCTCATTATTAATTGCAATTATAGCTCTGGGATAAAAACTATTGAGAAAACGTGTGGTCCGAGTCTTAATTGTTCTATATCTTCTGCCAGATGGTAACAGTTCAAAAAAGTTATAAGCAGGATGGGAAGAGTCTCTCAGGATGCTATGTGATTTCCTTAGACAGCGGGATGTGAAGATGTCATCCAGGGTTGGTAGCTGGAGCCCGATGATATTCTGGGCAATTTTAATGGTTCTCTGTAGAGCTTTTTTGTCCGCTACAGAGCTACTCCCAAACCATGCCAGAATGCCATAGGTTAGGACACTCTCAATGGTGCTACGATAGTAGGACAGAAGTAAATGCTGAGATAAATTTAACTTGCCGAGCATTCTCAGGAAATACAGCCTCTTCTGTGCCTTCTTTATTAGCATGTTGGCATTTATAGTCCATGAGAGGTCCTCTGAGATGTAAGTACCCAGAAATTTAAAACTACCAACTCTCTCCACTTCCTCACCATTTATGTACAGTGGTAAATGTACATTTCTCTTCCTCCTAAAATCAATTATGAGTTCTTTAGTTTTTTTGATGTTAATTACATTAAATGCGTAGAAAGACCAATGGAACTCAATAGGATTCAATTCCAAGTAGACATATATATAACTGCATTTTAAAGCTCTTCAGCATTGGCCAGGAATTTGATTCCCCTCTGCCTCCCAAGAGAAGAGCCAGCCTATATATCCTTGGGGAAACTGCAGAGTTCCAGAGCACCCCCAGAAGAACAGAAAAGTAAAGCACTCCACCTTCTGTACTTAGAAAACTCAGGAAAGGATTGCTATAAGATGGAACTGACTTGGTGGCATATTGTAATTTTTATTATCATGTGGGTTTAAGCTAAGAATTAAGCAAACAATTAAAATGCATTGATTTATGCATAGCAATACTAACAATATTTCCGGGAGTCATAGTCCAAAAATGTGATTTGGCACAGGCCCATGATGATGATGAGCGACCTTCCTGGATCGACCAAACATACTCGCCCTGCTATAATCACCACACCACATTGACCCTTCTTGTTAAGAAGCTGAACTGACTGTTCTTACTATTTGGATTATTGCTAGATAATTACTAGGAATAGCAGTATAATAATTGCTAGGAATCAGGAGTATTTGATTGTTATTGA